TATCTTGGAGATGTTGCGGAGGTGGAGCCTGCAAGATCTAGATAGAGTTGGTGTAATCCTTCCTCCCCACCTGCTGGAAGGTCATAATGATGGATTCCAAGGGGTCTTGGAATTTTTCTCTTGGTCTGAGTGACTTGGCTGTCAGAGAAAGCTTGTCTCCCATTCAACATTCTGAAGATTAGAGATTCAAGTATCCCTTCAGCACTGTACCTCTCAACTACAGGATCATCTGTTCAAGATTCAGTTGGACAATGCCACAGTATGGGCCTACACGCACCACCGAGGGATATCAGAAGTCTTGCAGCTCAAAGAGACAGATCAGATACTGACTTGGGCAGAACTGCTCTATCTGTTGCCCCCATTCTAGACATGGTAAATTGGCAGGCAGACTTCCTCAATCATTAATGTTTGGATTCCAGAGAGTGGTCTCTTCACCCGGAGGTGTTGCAAGATCAGTTTTTCAGATGGTGGTGGTGGTGGGGGGGGGGGGGGGGAGGGGGGGGGGCAGACAAAGACCTCTGGGCTTCTAGTTCAACAACAAATCTAAACATTAATTCCCAAATCCAGGGGTTTGCTGACTTTTGTAGTGGGCACTCTGGTGACTCCATGGGATTAGTTCAGCCTTAACTATGCCTTTCCCCATCTAAAGCTCCATCCTCACCTGCTTTGCAGGATTAAAATGGGGGGCATTCTGGTTATTCTCATTACATCAAACTTACCCAACCAGACTTGGTAGCTGGGCCTCATCAGGATTCCGAAAGTCAAAAGTAAATAAAAGCAGACATTTTTTGACAAGTCCTTTATTGAAAAAATCTATAAGAATAATAAAAACATGTCCTCTGATGTAAATCCAGCGTCATTTACAATGCTAAATGACAGGTAAACAAGGGTGCGTGGTAACCTGGAGACCCGAAGGACTGGTATAAATTGGGGGGACTTCACGCTGAATGGATATCCCACTGACAGCAGGTTAGTCATGATTGTTAGGGTCGTGGCAACTACTCACTTCTTAACAACCAGCTATTCACAATGAATTGGGATCGGATTAAAAAATATTGAATTCTTCTAAATAGTTACAATATTGTTTTTGAATCTACCCGGACCAACGCGTATACGAAACGAATGCCGAAAATATGAAACGAATTCTGAAAACAAATCTCTTCAACATAACTAATATAATGAAATGAAATTCTTCAATTAACTAATCCATCTGAAATGAAATAAAACATTTCTGGCATGCACGTGTGCATTGTTCAGGCCCTGTCTGCCAGCTTTGGCCACAGGACAACTCTGTAAAGTCTCTTAAGAACCTTCTGTTACAATGTTGTTCTGCGGTCTTGTTAATGTTTGTGGTCTTTGTCTTGTTTGCTCTGTTGCCCATCTCTCATTTATGTTGCTTGGGAACGTCTCTGTGTTCCTGAATTCCCTCTTGTGTCCTTTAAAGGATGATAACAAAAATAAGATTGTAGCCCCACACAGCCAGCAGTGCCTGTGTCTCGGTGACTGTATGGTGTGTGGCTGTGACAGCACCACCCACAGAGACTGCTGTCCCTTTCTCTACAGCTGTAGGTACTCCTAACAGCAGTGTCTGGTAAGGAGAGGGAGATATTGGAGCAGAGGAATAGTGCTAGGAGTGGGTTCTTTGTGGCTGATTGCAGGAAAAGAGCTGGAGAGGAGAATGAGGGAGCTGTGATTGGCTGTAGGCACAGCCTGAGGAAGAACAGCCAGCCCTCCAGCTGGAAAACTGTGAGAGCTGCAAGGCTGCAAGGACTGGTGGGAAATATAGTCCCCATAAGAGAAAGGGCTATACTTAGGAGTCTGTGTATAACTACAAGTCCCAGGACCTGAACAGCTGCAGGAGAAGAAAAAGGACAGAGACATCAGAATGACACCAGTAATCATTTTAGCTGCCTGTACCAGCACTGACCACCAATTAATTGATTTTAGTAGGGTACCCCAAGACCTGAAAATTATTTCAAGGGTTTCCGCTGGGGCAAAAAGTTTGAGCAAGGTTGGCTTATAACCTGGGCACAGGTGCACTTTAAAGCTCATCTCAAGGCCAAAATATACATTCATAGTAATGTAGTGAAGCAGAGCATGCTCACTTTTCAATTGAATTTTCATTTAGTTTAATTAATGTAATAAAGAATACAATTTTGCCTTGCATGACAGTATTCAGGAACCTAGGGCTATGTTGCCATCTTCAGAAGTTTGGACATTGGCAAAACAAAGCTACTAGGACCACTCCCAGCAAGCCTTAGTTTTGTAAGCAAGCAATAGTAGGAGTGGATCATAAGAAACAGATGGGAGGGACCGATGTCCTGTAATTCCTTCATGAAAAGGATTTTACAGGTAAGACAAAAACCTTATGTAGTGCTATCCCCAAAGAAGTCTCTATTGTTTGGGTCCCCTGTACCCAATGCCAATGACCCTCTAGGCAGAACCACACTCTCTGACATGCCAAGACTGAAAGAAAAGGTGGTTTATTCTGATGGCACACCCAGCAGTTCGCAGAAGCAATCTGAGCAGAAGTGGGAGCGCGTACCTGTCAAAACAAGCTACACGCTGACTCCCCCCCCCAAAGAGTGCCAATAGTTAAAGAAGAGGAGGGAGGATGCAAACGTGCGGAATTTCCCTTTATAGGGAAAGTTCTGCTTTAACCTTGCAAAATTAAAATTTTGAATAGGGTGAATATGTGTTAACTCAATTATTTCTGTGTTTTTCTAGTACATGATTTGGCATTCATAGTGAACACAGTTTCACATTATTCACATTGCAATGTGAACATCACTTTGCTAGGTGAACAGCCTTTATTTCTTTAGTAAATCAACCCCTTTGCATTTTTCAAAGGGGTTGTACACTATGGCATACTGCATACCATATTTTATGGTATGTTTACAAAGCTAGTAAATGTACAGCTTTTTTGAAATGTATAGTATGCTCTTCAATAAATGTTGGATAGCATGGGGGAGGTTTAGACCCTTTCTAAAGGTTTACATTACTTTTTGTGACAGATTTCATTATCTCCACCTACAAGGACACAGAGTTATAAACACCTGACAGATAATCCAACCCATCCACATGCTACCCAAAAGTATAAAAAATTAAAAATCAGAGAACAGTGATAAAATGTATTATGAGGATTTTTATGATTGAGTAGATTCTGGTACCAGCATTTTGGCATGGGTATCTTTGCACAGGATGGGGTTGGCCTTCTGCATAGAGGATCCTTGTGTAGAGGTGGTGAGTATTTAAACAAAAAGTTAAAGGGAACCTGTGCTTTTTGGCCATGCCTGTAAAAATGATAGGTTTAGATTATAGATGACCCCTTCCTCACACTCACATTTTATTCTTATTTTAGTTTCTCCCACAACTCTGACTGTTCCCCTCAATGAAGTGACATACCCTGTATTTCTTGGTATGGGGGTCATGTGACTTTCTCCCACCTTTCTAATTTTCATCCCTGAATCCTGGAGAGTGAAATGAATATTAGTGTCAGGACAAAAGGCTTTAAGGATAGAAGATGATTCTGTAGGCCAGAAACTCTACAATGAAAGGTTTCATGGAGTGATGGGATTATATGGTTCAGTTGTTTCTTTCTGAATCTTACAAACCCTTATGGAGTGTTAGCTCTTATGAATCATAATGTACCGTATATCTTTTTGAAAGTTTTTAAACCCAAAATTTTAATATATTAGGATTTTGTGTTATAAATGTTTATTAAAGGAGATTTTTAGAGTACTGGGATACAAGGGTCCCAAGCAGTTTGGCTATAGCCCTGCACTACGTGCCTGTCTGTGGGGAAATAGACAGATACAGTATGTTCAGCTTTTAGTGTCTATAAATAAATATTGTTCAAAAATATCAAAGCTTTTGTATCAGGTTTTATAACAGAAGTTGATGAGTACAATTACTCCTTAGCCTCTCTTGGTGACTCAAGATGGGAATAATCTATGCATCTGATTTTCCAAGCTTACACACTTAGTAAGGGTACTGCCAATGAATATTACACTACAGAGTATCTATATATGTGTGTGACTATATGCCAGGACTTGCCAGGACTTCACAGTCACTCTTTGGCTCAATAAACAGTCCAGGGGGATTCTTTATTGGTGTTTTTATTTTTGGGTAACTTGGATGGGGATTGGAAATTAAAAGGGATACTCCAGAACGGTGTACAAATAGGTGGGTACTTTCTCTTCTGTAGAACTATGAGCCAAGTCCTTGCACCAATAACAGAGTGGACAAAGTGATGTAGCAGTAGCTTGAAGAGATTAATCTTCCTTTCTGGACTGCCCAAGCAAAGTCCTTTCTCTCACAACTGTCTACACTCACAAATGTCTTCAGACGATTGGTTGTCTCCTTCCAATGCCTTCCAAACACTTTCTCCCTGTATCACCAGACCAGATCCACAGACAACAGGCACCCTCAGTCAGCTCCAGAAACTTTAAGAAAACCTGCCCCCTCCAGCTTGCCCAGCTGGGATCGCGATGATCAGTGACCACGTGGCAGGTGGCCTGGGGGGCAATTAGACCCCCAGGCTTTGAGCTTCCCCTCAGGGACAAACAAGTCTGTTCCTGGTCTCAAACTATTTCCCAGGAATCTTCTGTGCAATCTTCCCACAGGAATTGGCTGAGAAGGTATAAACATTCGTGCTGCTCATTTGCCTTAGTCCACCCCTATGTTCCAGAACCACCCAGAGAATTCTAGAAGGCAGAAGAAGCAATCAAACCTGCAGCCTGTCAAACACAGAACATACCTAAACAAATCACAAACAGCCACACTGATTACAGTGAACCAAACTAAATGTACCTAATCCTAGCAGAGTGCAGCACAGTAGGGGGACTTGTCCCTTTGGCCTTTTGAATAGAAAATAGAATTAGCATACAAAGAGTCTGCCAATTGCCAATTCTGTCAATGACTTCCCTTTTACTATGCAAATGGACTGCTACCTGACTATGCATGCACATTCAGGAATATGTTTATTTATATAAAACAAACAAACAAACCTACTTCCTAACCCTCATCAACACCCTCTCCTCCAATCCTCATCGGCTCTTCTCCACTTTCAACTCCCTACTCTCTCCCCACCCAGTCAGTATCCCCTCTGATGATGTGCCTTAGCACGAAAGGCCTCAGGAGGAACTGACAGCCTGTGACGCCTGATCTCGCCGTCCAGACCACGTGGGGGTCTGGCGGCCAACCATTACTAGGGTCAGTATTTTACTTTCTTTTATTAACTCCTCACTGTGTGTTCTTCTGGCAATGTGCCAGAATTTTTTTCACTGACCTGATTTTTAAAGATTTCATGTACCAATAAAACATTCTACATACTACGCTATGGGTACTCTCCCTATTTTTACCCCTCACTGAGGGGCTGGCAGACACAGCTACATATCTCATCCAGAGGAGGGAATCCTGCACCTGGAAGGAACATATACCTTGGCTGATCCAAATCTAAGGAGGCCCTGTTAGCCCAGCAGATCGACTGATGACACCTCTTCCTGGAGGATAACGACATCTGTGGGATTTGATATACATATGCGCATTTCCTATGCGCGGTCGGTGTGTGCGCATTTCTGCCATTTTCCGGATCTGATACAAGCTGTGTTCACCTTATTTATGAATCGATCGCAGGATTTTATTAACATTTATCTTTGATCGAACTATTTAGATCGAATTTCATAGAATTTTATATCGTGTTATTTAGCGCTGCACTTTACTTATTTTTCTTCATCAGAGGTGGTTGTGATCATCTTTAGTGCTTTTAGCTGCTTATGTGACAATTTATCAGTAGCGCTCACTTTGTTCTATATCAAAGTACCACACTCACCGCCCACGTGATTGCCTTTCACTTCCAAAATAAGATCGACGCAATCCGTAAGAACATTACCAATGCTCCACCTACCTCCGCACCTAGCCTCCCTCCCACTACAACCCCTCCAACTCTCCCCTCCTCTGACCTCGCAACCGCCCTGCCCCCCACCACCCTTAACATCCTGCACACCATAACCGCTCCAACACTCCGCTCCTTCAACCTTGCCACCACTGAGGAGGTCACCAAGGTCTTCTCAGAAGCCCGCCTCACCACTTGCCCCCTTGACCCTGTCCCCACACAACTCCTCCGGGCACCCTCCCCCTCCATCCTACGCTCCCTCACCCACATCTTCAATCTCTCCCTCTCTACTGGCACATTCCCCTCACCCCTAAAACACGCGCACATCACCCCATACTCAAAAAACCCTCCATGGACCCCACTGACCTGAACAACCTTAGACCCATCTCCCTGCTGCCATTCACTTCCAAGCTTTGAGCGCTTAATCTACAATCGCCTAAGCTCCTACCTCACTGACAACAACCTCCTCGATCCACTACAGTCTGGCTTCTGTCCCCTACACTCCACCAAAACCTCCCTACTCAAAATCACTAATGACTTGCTAACTGCCAAAGCTAATGGCCACTACTCAGTCCTCTTACTCCTTGACCTCTCCGCGGCCTTCGACACAGTTGACCACCCCCTCATCCTCGATAAACTACACTCCCTCAGCATCAGAGACTCCGCTCTCTCTTGGCTCTCCTCCTATCTCTCCCAACGCTCCTTCAGCGTTACCTATAACGCTACCACCTCCCCCTCTCTCCCCCTCTCTGTTGGGGTCCCCCAAGGCTCTGTCCTCAGGCCCCTTCTCTTCTCCATCTACACCTCCTCCCTTGGCAAACTGATAAACTCCCACGGCTTCAACTATCACCTCTACGCCGATGACACGCAAATTTACCTCTCCACCCCTCAACTCACCCCTTCAGTCTTCGCCCGTATCACCCACCTGCTGAACGACATTTTAGACTGGATGTCGCTCCACTTCCTCAAACTGAACCTTTCTAAGACCGAGCTCCTAATTTTCCCCCCAGCCCGCACCACCACCCCCCACCCTCTCCATCACGACCAACAACGCCACCATCAGTCCCACCCCGCAAGACAAAGTCCTAGGTGTCACTCTAGATTCAAACCTGTCCTTCCAACCCCATGTCCAATCGCTAGCAAGCTCATGCAGGCTCCACCTCCGTAACATCTCCAAAATATGTACGTTCCTAACCCCAGACACTACTAAACAACTCGTTCACTCCCTCATTATCTCACGCCTGGACTACTGCAACTCCCTCCTCACTGGCCTACCTCGTCACAGACTATCCCCGCTTCAGTTAATACTGAACTCAGCGGCCAGACTCATCCACCTTACCAACCGCTCCTCTTCTGCCACCCCCCTCTGTCATTCCCTCCACTGGCTCCCGATAACCCAACGCATCAAATTCAAACTACTAACACTGACGTACAAAGCCATTCATAACGGCACCCCAAACTACCTCACTGACCTGATACCCAAATACCACCCAACCTGTAATCTTCGCTGCTCACAAGACCTCCTACTTTCTAGCTCCCTGGTCTCCACCTCCCACGCCCGACTGCAGGACTTCTCCAGGACTTCCCCCATCCTCTGGAACTCACTACCCCAATCCATCAGACTGTCACCTACCCTCCTCACCTTTAGGCACACCCTGAAAACCCATCTCTTCAGGGAAGCCTACCCACCCTCACCTAACTGCCGATCTCCTCCACTCCTCCTACCACTCCATCCCCAACAGCCACTTCCTCTTGTGCCACTATCCCCTCCCTCCTAGATTGTAAGCTCGAAAGAGCAGGGCCCTCGAACCCCTCATGTATTGTTTTGTTACTGTACTGTCTCATGTACTATCCCCCACTATAATGTAAAGCGCTGAGCAAACTTTTTGGCGCTATGTCAATACTGTATATACACACTATATTGCCAAAAGTATTGAGACAGCCCTTCAAATCATTGGATTTGGGTGTGCCAATCATCTAACTGAAACTGTTCCAAAACCTAGGTTATGAAACTGCATTATAAACTGAACATCACTATATACACATACATACATACACATATATATATATATATATATATATATATATATATACATACATACATACACACACACACACTATATTGTCAAAAGTATTGGGACACACCTCCAAATCATGGAATACAGGTGTTCCAATCATGGCCACAGGTGTATAAAATCGAGCACCTAGACATGCAGACTACTTCTACAAGCATTTGTGAAAGAATGGGTCGCTCAGGAGCTCAGTGAATTCAAGCGTGGTACCGTGATAGGTTTCCACCTGTGTAATAAGTCCATCCATGCAATATCCTTGTTACTAAATATTCCACAATCAATTGTTAGTGGTATTATAAAAAAGTGGAAGCAACTGGGAACAACAGCAACTCAGTCATGAAGTGGTAGGCCATATAAAATGACAGAGCAGGATCAGCACATGCTGAATCGCACAGTGTGCATAAGTTGCCAACTGTCTGTCAATAGCTAAAGACCTCCAAACTTTGTGTGGCCTTCAGATTAGCATAAAAACAGTGGATAGAGAGCTTCATGGAATAGCCAAGCCTTACACCAAGTGTAAAGAAAAGCGGTGGGTGCAGTGGTGTAAAGCACTCTAGAGCAGTGGAGACATGTTCTCTGGAGTGACCAATCATGCTTCGCTGTCTGGCAATCCAATGGACGTGTCTGGATTGGGTGGTTGCCAAAAATTAGGAGTGTGTCTAAAGGGGTGTTTGACCATTCTTCCAGGAGTGTATTTGTAAGGTCATATACTGATGTCAGATGAGAAGGCCTGGCTTGCAGTCTCCACTCTAATTCATCTCAAAGGTTTTCTATCGGATTGAGGTCAGGACTCTGTACAGGACAGTGAAGTTCTTCCACCCCAAACTCGCTCATCCATGTCTTTATGGACCTTGCTTTGTGCACTGGTGCGCAGTAATGTTGGAACAGGAAGGGGCCTTCCTCAAACTGTTCCCACAAAGTTGAGAGCATGAAATTGTCCAAAATGTCTTGGTATGCTGACGCCTTAAAAGTTCCCTTCACTGGAACTAAGGGGCCAAGCCCAATACCTGAAAAAACAACCCCGCACCATAATCCCCTCTCCACCAAACTTTACACTTGCCACAATGCAGTCAAGCAAGTACCGTTCTCCTGGCAACTGCCAAATCCAGACACATCTATCATATTGCCAAGCAGAGAAGCATAATTTGTCACTCCAGGGAAAACATCTACACTGCTCTGGAGTCCAGTGGCATTGTGCTTTACACCATTGCATCCGACGCTTTGCAGTGCACTTGGTGATGTAAGGCTTGGATGCAGCTGCTCGGCCATGGAAACCTATTCCATGAAGCTCTCTATGCATTGTTGTTGTGCTAACCTGAAGGCCAAACGAAGTTTGGAGGTCTTTAGCTATTGACTCTGCAGACAGTTGGCGACTTCTGTACTCTGTGTACTTCAGCATGCATTTACACCGCTCTGTCATTTTATGTTTCCTACCACTTTGTGGCTGAGTTGTTGTTGTTCCCAGTTGCTTCCACTTTGTTATAATACCACTAACAATTGACCGTAGAATATTTAGTAGCAAGGAAATTTCACGGATGGACTTATTGCACAGATGTCAACCTATCACGGTACCACACTTGAATTCACTGAGCTCCTGAGAGCGACCCATTGGGGTTTATTTACTAAAGCTGGAGAGTCCAAAATCAGACTCCCTTCTGCATAGAAACCAATCAGCTTCTAACCTCAGCTTGTTCAATGAAGCTTTGGCAATGAAACCTGGAAGCTGATTGGTTTCTATGCAGAAGGGAGTCTGATTTTGGACTCTCTAGCTTTAGTAAATAAACCCCATTCTGTCACACATGTTTGTAGAAGCAGTCTGCATGACTAGGTACTTGATTTTATATACCAGTGGTCATGGAGGTGATTGGAACACCTGAATCCAGTGATTTGGAGGGGTGTCTCAATACTTTTGGCAATATTGTATATATGTATATATATATATATATATATATATATATATATATACACACACACATACATATACATACATATATATATATATATATGTACATATATATATATACATACATATACACACACACACAGTTGTGTTCAAAATAATAGCAGCGTGTTGAAAAAAGTGAAATAAAGCTCAAAATCCTTCTAATAGCTTTTATTTCCATACACACAAATGCATTGGGAACACTGCACATTCTATTCCAATTCAAAACATGAAGAAAAATATATCAAATTTGTGTAGTTCCTCTAAAAAAATTGAAGAAAAGTGAATATTAGACTGTTCAAAAAAAATAGCAGTGTTTGTATTCTTCTTTACAAACTCAAACATTTACTATATAAACTGAAAAATGTTTGAAGATTTTGCTTTCCTTTGAATCACTTAATTAATATTTAGTTGTATAAGCACTGTTTCTGAGAACTGCTGTACATCTGTGTTGCATGGAGTCACCCAACTTCTGGCACCTGTGAACAGGTATTCCAGCCCAGGATGATTGGACTACATTCCACAGTTCTTCTCTATTTCTTGGTTTTGCCTCAGAAACTGCATTTTTGATGTCAACGCACAAGTTTTCTATTGGATTAAGATCCGGAGATTGGGCTGGTCACTCCATAACGTCAATCTTGTTGGTCTGGAACCAAGATGTTGCACATTTACTGGTGTGTTTGGGGTTGTTGTCTTGTTGGAACACCCATTTCAAGGGCATTTCCTCTTCAGCATGAGGCAGCATGACCTCTTCAAGTATTCTGATGTATTCAAAGTGATCCATGATCCCTGGTATGCGAAAAATAGGCCCAACACTGTAGTATGAGAAACATCCCCATATCACGATGCTTGCACAACCATGCTTCACTGTCTTCACAGTGTACTGTGGCTTGAATTCAGTGTTTGGGGGTCGTCTGACAAACTGTCTCCGGCCACTAGACCCCAAAAAGAACAATCTTACTTTAATCAGTCCTCAAAATGTTGCGCCATTTCTCTTTAGGCCAGTCAATGTGCTCTTTGGCAAATTGTAACCTCTTCAGCACATGTCTTTTTTCAACAGTGGGACTTTGCGGGGGCTTCTTGCAGATAGCTTGGCTTCACATAGGCGTTTTCTAATTGTAACAGTACTCACAGGTAACTTTAGACCTTCTTTGATCTTCCTGGAGCTGATTGTTGGCTGAGTCCTTGCCATTTTGGCTATTCTTCTATCCATTTGAATGGTAGTTTTTCGCTTTCTTC